ATATATATGAAACATACGATTTGATTTCAATAAATAAACTATATTTAAAATAGTTTGTAACACTTTAACCTTTTTGTAATATATGTTGAGCAAAAAGGGTATAATTATATAACCATGCATATATAATTATTTCAATTCATTTTATTATCACGGTAAATTGATAATAGTATACAAAGGATTCACTATTTCAACGAAACATTTGTATAAACTATAATAAGTATAGTTTATGGAACATTCACACTATTTTACCCTGTTGGGGACACAGAAATAATTATTTAAAAGAATAATTATTTTCATACTACGTACACACTATGAAGGGGTAATGCATACAATTACAAGAAAAAGGGATTTTCATTACACTATACGTAAACCAGTTAATACAAGGTTGTGAGACACTATCTTCACATACTTTCCAGAGTACACACTAAAGTCTGATATTATAACTAGAGTCTCTTGTAGGGAGAGCGTGACACTTGTGTATAGATCTATACGGGACTAACAATCCCGCACCTAAACAGTTAGCTACAGTTAGACCGGCAGGTCTGGGGTGAAAAATGTCGTACCATTCCGACGCCTGAAGAACGTCGTACAGGCCACTAATTGCTAGCATGGTTATAATAACTCACATGGGGTATTAACTAATACATTTGGTTTACGGGGCTAACTTACATACAACCAGTTTTATTAAATAATAAAACTAAACTACACTATTTTACAGTACAACTGGTAGTTCCATATACATACATCCAAAGGGTTTTACAAAGATACAACTACAACACACTATATTTCAGCATGGTACAACTTACAATTCGGGAAACATACATTTAAATGGTTGTATATAAGTATAAAACTACATATTACTATTTTAAGTTTGGAAAATACTTGTACATTTCGGTTTTGGAACATTTAAGACTACATTACATTTTTAAAGAAAATATTGGATTTTCTGGCTTCACACTCATTCATTATACAAGGAAAAACGACAGATTTCTCATACAAACGGTTATGAACTCACCAACTTAATTCTTGACGCTTATTCAAAACTACTTGTATTCTTAAGGAATCACTAAGACAGGTAACAACAAGCTTTTGAAGATAAGACGCTAAGACGTCAGTCAAGTCTTATATCATCATATTGCAATTGATTTTTGAAACATGTAATACATACAAACCATGTAACTTTATCAATTATATATATGATGGTTGTGTTTGCTTTGATCTCTATTATTCAATTGTTGTGATACTATACATGACGTCATCCGCCCCCATACGTTTCCGCCGTTTTACCGGTTTGGGGGTGTGACATGTTGACACTGTCACCCTTCGTCTTCTCAAAACTGTAACTTCCTTGCCAATTTCTATTTTTGTTGCGTTCAAAATTCTTTTTGGAGAACTTCCTAGGGTTTGATACTATCAATGCATATTCCTCCTTTGAGAGTTCACAATCTGAGAGGTCTGTCTCTGAACCTTCTTCTTCTACAACTTACTTGTTCTTTGCGACTAATGCCAAAGAACCCATCCCAGAAACAATCTTTGCTTCTTTTGTAACTTCGTCCTCGTGAGACCTAAGAATTCCCACAAGCTTCGCTAAAGAGTAGGTTTTAAACTGCTCATGCGCTTTAACCGTTGACACCACAGCTTTCCATTCTGGCATCAAACCGTTCATGAATGTGACATTTTGTTCAATCAGTTCGAGTCCAATCTTATTTTTCATCATCCTATTTAAAAGATGATTGTACCGGTTGAACGTTTGATCCAGTTTTTCCTCAGGCTTCTGGACAAAGGCTCCAAATTCTAAAAGAAGTAGAGTCTGAATAGAATGCTCAAGAGCAGCATCACTCGATTAGAGTTCTTTCAGCCTGTCCCATATTCCTTTTGTTGTATCGAATGGACTTACCAGACGAAACGTATCTGGAGGCAAAGGAAACCTAATAATCCTCATCGCCTTTACATTACTAATTAGCCTGTCTTTTTCATCCTGTGGGACATCTTTTACTTCAAGAAGAAGATTATTGTAATCGGCTTGAGTTTTAACAACTTTTCTTGTACCAGTATGTTCAAACGTCTGCACCGTCATGGCTTCCCATATCAAGGAACCATGATCATCAAGTCCTTGAACGTAATCTTCAAAATGTAGCGCTCATACCTCATATTCGTGTGGAAAAAGAATCGGGATTCTTGTTGTAGAACCAATACTAATGGATAAGTCGAATAAAAGAGTATGAGAATCTTCTGAATGCATGATGTCGATTCAATAAAAACCTGTAATGAATTAGATGTGTAAAACTGAAATCGAGTTTAGGGTAGAATCGAGATCTAGATCCAACGTCAACAATCGATCAAAACGATGAAGCCGGGTAGAACAGATCCTATAATAGCGGAAAAACCCTAATAACACTTCAACAGAAGAGTTGTGTATGATTTACACAATCTCCTGCTCTAATACCAATTGATAGGAATAAAACTATAAGATCGACAGATTCAAAACAGGTAAAGAAATGAAACACAAAGAATGGAGATCAAAAGTTGTGCCGAATGATTAAAAGCACTGCCTTTGAAGAGCTCGACTAAGAATTGCTACTGTAAAGGCAATGTAGGGTTTCAAGATCATTAACAAAACACGGTGCATGCATGTACTATTTATACTCTAACTCTAGCACATTAATATCGGGTGGACAGACCAGCCCGTTACAAAAGATGAGTAAAACAATACAATACAATTATTATTGACACAACACAAGATAACCGCAATAGGTTTTTTTTATATATTTATTCGTTGTTTTTAAAAAAGACCAAATGGGAATCGCAATTGATGGTTTTCCATGCATTACGAATTCTTTGGAATATGCTATATATTCCATATGAAATAATTTGTTGTCATTGAAAAAAACTAGTCGACGTGTGAAATTATTCGTTACCGTTGCATCACGCGGGTGTTCTACTAGTATATATATATATATATATATATATATATATATATATATATATATATATATATATATATATATATAAAAGTTGTTAAAGAGAAAGGGAAATAAACAAACTTAGATATTTTCAAACTAGGTGTGCTGTGTTACGGTTTTTAGAAAAATATTAATGACCGATCATATTTCTCAATCTCCATACAAGATACTTAAATTTTCTCAATCTCCATACAAGGTACTTCAACTTTCTCAATCTCCATACAGGGTACTTCAATTTTTGTAGACACTTTCTGTAAAATAAAAATGTAAGTACTTAAATTTTCTCAACTCCATACAAGGTACTTAGATTATTCTCAATGAAGTAGATTGCCTATATTGGTAGAAATAGGAAACACATTGCTACTTTCTGCACTTTACCCTCTTTTTTTGCTTTTAACAGTGGTAATTGGAACAAGCACCGGCCATTTTGGTAATACGAACGGGATTGCAGTAGACCATAAAATGAGTTGGGAGGAGTCGATCGGTTTAGATGCAAAATCCAGCCTTTTATTCAGAATATTATACGACACAATACGCTCAGGCTCCATGCATTGCAAATACACAACATTTGGATTCAACGGATGAAACGATAAAGGACGAAACCATCCGTCCAACAGCCAATTACTCAATTCCAGATCATTAGAATGAAGATCGCTACGTCTCACTTTAAACTCACAACACCATTCTCCTTTCTCATAATGCTTCATAGCCCACATGGTGAACAAATAGAGTTGGGTGGAATCATGAGCCACCTCGAAATAACGAAGGGTCCCTTGGCTCTCACCACATAATTGACAAGTTCCCATGTAGTTATGCTCACTCTTCAGATCTCTGTCATCTGGGAATGGAATTAGGCAAACAGATTTTGGATCTTTGTAAGGATCAAATGCAAGCATGACATGAATCCCCTTATCATTAATAACTTGCCAATGGAGAGCCCCGTAACAGTAAATTGGACCACAGGCCAGTTGCCGCCATAGGATGGGAATAGGACAAGGTAGCTTGTAGCAGATCCATTTGCCCGTTTCAGATGAAAAAGTCTCTAAATTGAGATAATTCGATGTAAGATGTTCCAACCTAACAACTGTATAACTAGTAAGCATATGATCTTCATTAACCTTAGTAATAAGCCCTTCCTTGAAGGAATCGTGGTACCTGGGTCCACGTCTAGGTAAAGTGATCCATAGTCGAGTGAGTGGATCACATATGTAGTAAACAAACGGTGTTGGCGCACGCCAACAACACAGAATCAAACCATTACTTATAGCTAAAATCCTAAACTGATGATATTGTTGTTGGTCTTCAGGGGTAGAAAGAAAAAGAACAGAGAATTCAGACAAACTGTGGACTTCAGTACCGAGACGATTAAGTAACTCGTCTAATGTCGGTACGTAAGTGTATCTATCCAAGATTCTTAAAGGTTGCGAGGACGATGGTGCATTGGAATTGAGAATCGAGTAATAGAATCGGCAAAAGGAAGGGTGAGAGATTAGGGTTTGCCAATGCTTGCATACACTTTTAAAACTAAAAATCGATTTCACTGATAATCTAGCGAGAATTTCTATAAGCAACGAATCAGGAAAGTTTCGAATATCATACCAAAACAATTGTTTTCTCTTGCTGGAAATATTGGTATGCAGAAGTTGCTGCAAAATTCGGTTCTCATCGCCATCAAATTGATTGATTGAATTACTGTTATCGTCGTCTTCCATGCCGCTTGAATTGCTGTTATCGTCGTTTTCCATGCACAACTGAAGTTATGAGGTGGGTGTTGTAAAAGAAACACAAACCCCACTTCCTTAGGTAATTTTCGTATGTTTAATAGATTTCACAATGGTTGAGTTGAGATGACGTTTAATAGGGATTCTTTACAAACTTCAAGTGAAATAGTTAAAGAAATTAATATTTATATGAATGAATAAAAATATATAGTGTATTTTATATTTAATCTAATATTTGAATATTAATGACATATCGAAAACGTTTTCAAGGCAAGGTAACGTAATGAGTGGATATGAGTAATGAGTGTAAATCCATCTAATAATAATGGCACAATGAAACTTTTTAAAATTTAAATAAAGGCAAATATAAATTGATTATTCCAAATTTTAGCATGGATAAGGTAAGTGACTGTTTGGGTACTTTACACTTATAAGAAAATGAAATGTTACAAATTTACTATGTAAATATTAAGGGTTTATTACAAAAATTAACATATGATTATGAAAAATGTAAGGAAATGATATAACTATTATCTATACGGGTTTATAAAAAATAAAAATTTAATATCAATATAAACATTAAAAATTTTATAAAAAAATTAAAAAAATCAATACATTTATAACATTTATGTAAATTTATTTTCAAATTAATATAATGATAACTTTACATGAATAGAATGAGAACATTCCATATATAACTGTAAATTCTGGGAATTTAATGTACAAAAATCAGAAACCCCAAAAAATAATAAGTGGAAAATAAAAAAGTAAAAAAAAACAGAAAAAGCCATGTGACAAAAGGAAGGCGAAGACGACATGTGGCAAAATGATTTTCATTTATTAGGTTAGATTTTAAAATTATTATAATGAAGCAGATTATCTTTATTATCAGTATCACACAAGAATAACCAAAACCGAAATTATATATACAAACCAAACGTTAACATCCCGCTCCCGAGTTGTAGCAAAGAAAAGAGAAAAGAAAGTAAGGAGAGAAAAGAAAGGAAAAGAAATTTGTCTTTTGTGCTCCCGAGTTTGAGGGAAATAAAAGAAAAATTAAACATTTTGTTCTTTCTTTCCTTCCAAATCGGAAGGAAAGTTAGGAGGAAAACTGATCCTTCCATTTCCTTCCTTGAATGAAACTCGGGAGCACCAATTTCTCTTACTTTCCTCTCACTTCCACCCATTTCCTTTCTTTTCTCTCCTTAAGTTGAACTCGGAAGTCGGGTGTAAAATATTATTATTATCGTCACCAAAATTAAGTAAGGAGATTAAGCATTCCAAACATTTAAATATGTTTATTACCATCACTAAAACAACATAAACTAATAACTACTTTAAATAAAAACTTTCAAATATTCGGTGGTACTATTTTCAAATATCTATAATATAATATTGGACTTCCAATCTTTCTTCTTATTTTAATATTAGATTTTTTAATATGTCTTAGAGCTACATATAAGAAACATTAATTGAAGTGTTAATTATAAGGATTATTATCATAATTAAATATGAGAATTTTTTTGTAACGGCAAATCTAATCTACTCCTAAATGACCCCTTAATTTCATCTATGTCCACGACGAAACTTGAACCCTCTACCTCAAAGAGGGAGGGCAAAACTGATACCGTTGGGTTAGAAGCCCTTTGGTATTAAATAAGATAAATATTAATTACAAATAACATTATTTATAATTAATGTATTTTACATTTAATTATAGTAATATTACACATAATTAATGTTTGTTAGATTTAATTATGGTAACATTTCTTATAATTAACATTTCAATTAATTTTTTTTATATGTGATGTTAGGAACATATTAGAAAATCCCTTTTTACATTTCAAAGTATAGTTTTTATAATAAGAACTAGACAAATTTCCGCGCGTTGCGCAGTGTAGGTTAAAAATATATTGTTAAAATGTTGAAAAATATATGTTTAAAATGGTTATGTTATCGACATTAACTTTGACATAATATTTTGAACAATATTATTCATTGACATCAACCCACCTTCCTCATTAATAAAATTAAATATAATTATCTATTTAATATTATTTTTAACAATTGTTATGATTGATTAATTTAAATTTTTACTTATGCGATTAGTTTGTAATTTCAATAATGATGTTAATTTAAAATACAATTTATTTGTAATTTCAATAATGATGTTAATTTAAAATACAATTTATTTGTTGTTAACGTTATGTAATTTATAAATTGACGCTATTATCATTTAAAATTATTGTTCTTTAGTTTTAAACCACTTATTATTATTAATAAGTTAAAGAAGACTTTTAAGGAACATTTGATATTACTACTAAAATGTGAAACATACACTAAATAATAAACTGATAAGATAGACATTTTGTATTTCAAAAGAGACTTGCATGGATAATATGACATATCCATGATTTTTATAATTTGCTTTTATTATTTTTAATTATGGTTCATTAGTTTTAAACCACTTATTATTATTAATAAACGAAAGAAAACTTTTAAAAGACACTTATTATTATAATTAAAATGTTAAACATATACTAAAATATAAAGTGATAAGATAGACAATTTTCATTTTAAAGAGACTTACATGGATACTATGGATAATATTGCATATCCATGATTTTATATCAATTATTACTTTGAAGCAACACAAACATACAAACATATATACAATATTTAATTAAATATTATTTATATCACTTTCCATAACATATGATCTATAACATGAATCTAATCTAATTTGCATTAAAGTTTCAACGACAACATACAATGATTGACTTAAAAGAATACTTAAACAAATAAAAATATAAAAAAAGAATTAGTATATAACAAACTTACAAATTAAATATTTTAACATAATAACATGGCTCGAAAATGGTCCAAAGCCCTCAAACCAGCACAAAACCTTTAAACTTGTTTTCTTTGTGAATTTTGTATGTGATGTGTATTTGTGTGTCTCCTCAAAGAGAATGGCATTTTTATAGTAAACTATCATTTAATTGCTTATTAAACATAGTATATAAGCTATAAAACTTTTCATATGTGTGATTAATTACTTTGAAGGTGAAAATGTGTGGGGGTTTCAAATGCATGAGGTGCTTGGAAATTTGTGTGGGGGCTTCAAATGCATGAGGTGATAGGAAAAATGTCTCCTTTATACGTTATTGAAAATATTTATGTCATTTTTATTAACTATAAATAATAATAATTACATTTAGTTGATGCAAGATTGTAATTAATTTGAACAATAAATAATATAATACTTATGAAAATCAAATCATTTAATGGTCTGTGTGTATAAAATTAGTTGTGGTGACTTAGTAAGACATATGGAAGATATGATGAATAAATTATTGACCGACATTTAAATTATCGCACTACTTCAGCGCATGATGCATAACCTTATATTTGCATTAAGGGATAATTCGGGTATGGGACCCTCATTAAGGAAGTTCTCTTTCCAGAAAAAAAAAAGTTATAGTACTCACTATTTTAATTAACTATTGTTATAATGTATTTAATTTTAAATTTTTTTGATGATGATTTCATCATGAATATTATTTAAATTATCAACCACTATTTGAAATATAACATAATTTATTCTATAATTTCATGTTATTTTTAACTGTTATTATTATTATAAATTAGTTTAAAAACAACTTAATTGAATTTTAATTATTATATTTATCATATTTAGTAATTTCCTTTCAACTATTTTAAAAAATATATGTTGGATTTTTATTACTTTAGTTTTTAAACTTTACACTATATTTTTAAGTTTGTTTGATATATTAATTTAGGTTATGCATTTAACATTATATTGAAGTCAACAAATTTAGTATACCATATTGATAATTCAAGAAATCTTCAATTTATGATAATGTTTATAATTAACAATATATTAAAGTTAATAAAGTAAATTTATTATGTGGAAATATGAAGAGTTAGGAGTTTCAAAATGATGGAGTAAAAGAAAAAAATGTTTCCAGGATTATTTAAATTATCAACCACTATTTGTAATGTAACATAATTTAATTTATAACTTTATGTTATTTTTAATTATTATTATAAATTAATTTAAAAACAACCTAATTGAGTTTTAGTTATTATAAAAAGTAGTTTTTGGACATCTTTTAGTTAATTCGACTTTTAGATTTAAGCTTTTTATATTTATTGTATTTAATATTTTCCTTTTAACTATTTTAAAAAATATAAGTTAAATTTTTAAAACTTTATTTGATATTTTAGTTTAGGTTTAAACTTTTACACTATATTTTTAATTTTATTTAATATATTTATTTAGATTATGTATTTAAGACTATATTGAAGTCAACAAATTTAGTAGATCATATTGATAATCCAAGAAGTATTTCATTTATGATAATGTTCATAACTACCAACATATTTAAGTTAATAAATTATGTAAATTATATGGAAATATGAAGAGTTGGGAGTTTCAAATTGATGTGGTGAAAGGAAAAATGCTTCCTTTATAATATAGTATGATATGATATGATATGATGAAACAGTCGAGTAGTCATAAATAAACAGAAAATGGCCAAATGAGAATCACAATTCATGGTTTTCAATGCATTACATATTCTTTAGGATATGATATATATTCTATATGAAATAATTTGTCGTCACTGAAAATAACTATTCGACGTATGAAATTATTCGTTATCGCTGTATCGCGCGGGTGTCCTACTAGTATGTATATATATATATAT